GTGCTAAATTACATTGCGACCACAAACAACATTTCCCATTCAACATAGAACTAAACAAGATGAAACACACATAAAATAAATCAACAATAAATAGTTCCATTATTATTACAACTCAAACAAATAGTTTACTTTCCAATACAACAAATTGTTCATGAACAATGCAACAAATAGTCAATAGTACAACAAACATACAACATCAAACTTGTTTTGTCGCCCATTCCATGACCACCACTCCTCGACTAGATCCTTTGAAGGTTATCATGCGTTTCGGCATGTCGAATGGCATGATAGAAGACAATAAAGCGGGTCACCCTCACAGCCCTCCTCCACACTCGCACGGGTTGTCCCAACAACTCATACTGAGAATATTCTAAATCTTGCCTACACTCATTCTCGATGATCATATTATGCATGATTACACAAGCGTTCATGATGTACCAAAGGATGTTTTGATCCCAAAATCTAGCAAGTCCTCTCACAATAGCAAATTGGGCTTGGAAAATCCCAAAAACTCTCTCCACATCTTTCCTAGCCGCCACCTGAGCATTGTGGAAATCAATATTTTTTTTACCTTCTGGTTTTGTCAACGGCTTCACAAATGTTTGCCACCTTGGGTAGATGCCATCCGTAAGATAGTAGCCATAGTTGTACGTATGACCATTTGCTATAAACTCCACCGATGGAGTTTGCAATCCTATTCATGAGTGGTGACCGTTGAAAAACATTAATGTCATTGCAAGATCCATGCATTCCGAAAAAAGCATGCCAAATCTAAGTCTCCTGATTGGCCACCGTTTCAAGGATTATAGTGAAACCTTTTTTCTAGTCATGGAATTGTCGATGCCATGCCTTAGGATAGCTCTTCAAACTTCTCTATCGAGTCAAGCATACCTGGGAACCCGCGAGCTTTGTTCATCTCCAAAAGCCTTGCGGTGTCTTTAGCATTGGGAACTCTCAAATATTCCAGACCAAACACTTGCACAATTTCGAGTGCGAAGCGCTTGACACACATGATGGCTTGACTCTCACCCATGGTCAAGTGGTCATCAATTAGATCTGCCGGAATACCGTATGCCAACATATGCAAAGCGGCTGTCACATTTTGAAAGGTGCTGAAAAAACCGATCATGGCTCGCCAGTTTCTCCGCAATGTGTTTGAATAACTCGACGCTCATCCTAAAACGGCGCCGAAAGTAGGACTCGGGGTATATGGGATTCTCCACAAAATAGTATCTCAACTATCTGTTGTGGGCATAGATCTTGTCAGTCCACAATTTCAGACGACTTATAACCGAACCACCGTGCTTCGGCTTTTTGTTGACGTGCATAGCTAGGATCTTTACGACGTCCTCCTCCTCTTGAAGATCAAATTCTTCGTCGGAAGAATCGTGGGACGAACTCATCTACACAGTTGAATTTAAACTAATTTCAAACTACAAACAACATGCACCAAATTCATCTACAAATATAAAAGTTAGCAATATATACCTTGCAAGCGTTTTGTCGAATACCTTGTGGGCGGAGAGCTGCAAATGGCCGCCGGCCGCTGTTCGTCGGAGTCAGCAGCCGCGACGGCGCTCAATGGGCGGCGGCGAGGAGAGAAGGTGGAGGAAGCGGCAGCGACGAGGAGAGAAGGTGGAGGAAGCGGCGGCGGCGCATGGGGATTGGCGGGGGAAGCGCCAACGGGTCGCCGGAGCGAATGGGGAAGGTGCGGGCGGAGGTGCCAGCGCCTGGAGGTTTTCAGATCTGGCGGTTGATGAGATTCGTGTGCCTGATTGGTATGTCGAGCACGCGGAAGCGGGCGCACCAAATAAGTAGCGCGCGATGCCGTTTTCCCAGCGCGCTGAACCAACTTTGCCGCGCGCAAGATTTTAGCGCATCTGCAGCGTCGGTTTCGGTCGCGCGCACACCAAAAAGTCATTTTTTTCAGTGCGCGGATAATCTAGCGCGTCTGTTGGAGAAGCTATGAGAAAAGAGTAGTATGGGTTACATATGTATCTCATCCACCATAGTTATTTTTTGAGAGGACCATAGTTTCTTCTGTATGAGCTTGTAGAGGTTTGTTCCATGCAAATGCTGAGATGATATGGGGTTCTGGGTCATCGTGTGAAATATCTACAGTTAGTGTACTCTTTGGTTTGATTATTAGTGAGTTTAATGCTTCAAAACAACATGCTTGCCTAGCCCACTAAATCATTTGAAATTCTCACGAATGAGCTGGTCTAGGGCATTCTGTTTGTGATGCAATTAATACGAAGTAGCAACCTAAGCTGGGGACACGGCCCATGTGGAGATTACTGTAATTGCCCGGTACTAAAGCTCCATCAATATTGAGCACATGAACTTCACTCGCACGCACGAGAAGAGAAAGATGATCCTCAGTAGGAATCACATGCTCCTTGCCCGGGCAATGATAGATAATTAATAGCCATCATTTAGTGGGACAATGTGGTTAACAAAATCATCAAGTAGCATGCATAGAGGAAACTAATATATATAATAGTTTTTGCAAGTGGAAGGGAAACTCGAAGTGGAAGAGTGGAAGGAAGAAAAAAGATAAGAAAGTTGATTGCCATGCTCTGGACCTAAGCACAGTGGATAGGACACAAAATGTGAGCAACTTAAATCGTGGGCTTGAGAGACATTGGGTACGCAGCGACGAGTTTCTAGATGCTATGAAGGTCAACGGGCGCTTTTCTTTCTCCAGCCGTGGCAGATGTATCTAGTACATCTTGCGTCGGCTTCTCCGTTGTGTTCCTTGGCTCTCTCCTTTTTCCACATTACCATGCTATCTTTGGTTCTAGGCCGCATGTTGGTTTTAGAATGCTAGATCCCAAACCAGGACCAACACGTACGTGTACGTGCTAAGTTAGCCTTTTGTTTTAGAGAACTTCGCTGCACATTATT